ATGGCACATTATCAGGACAAGTTTATACTATCTCACGAGGAAGTATACAGGGTTGTCACAAACATTTCGTGTTGCTCGGTAAATATAACAAGTAGGTGGGGAATCAAACAGCTAGGGATTTCTTTTGGTTCTATTTTTCTTCTGTTTTCCTTGAAAGTAGCTGGGGGCCACATTCATGGGAGCCGGGGGAAATCCCCAGCCCCTGCCCCTTAATGATAGCCCTGTAGTATAACTTTGCATGAAGTTCCGTACACAAAGGTAACAAAAGCTCTTGTTTTTTGCATTTTACATTTGTGACCCTCCATATGATTTCCGGGACAAACATGATAACATGCTCACAACTCACTTCCACTTAAAAACATGAGAAATTGAGTGTAACAGGCTAACAAAGCACGCTAGAGCACCCTTTAATGAGCCTATACACTAAACACAATAAAGCAGGTGTCATAGAACAATGAAACAAGAGCAGCCAAACACAGAAAGCATGTTAACCTTCAATAACAAAAGCTACAGTGTAGCATGCAAGGTAACACAAGCATGCAACTTAGTGTGCTACATTGCATGCATAGTTGTACAGTCATTCTTGATACGAAAGCCAAAGCTACTATTGGTAAATAATGGTCGGCCTTGTTATCAGAAAAGCAAAGCTGAAACATTTATTTACACACCAGTCAAGGATTTAAATCATACTCTTCAAATTTTTGGTTTACGTGGAGCCTGTTTTTTTCCCAAACATGGTGAATGTAGTTCTTTTAACTTTCTTTTAGAGCACCTCCAAGTTCAAGGTTGAAATAATATACTGAATGAATTGCCTCGACCATGTAAACTTTAGTTGCAAAATTATTATTAAACTTTAGCTACAAAATTAATATTATTTTTGGTGCATAACATGTGAAGGTACTTATTTACATGCGTCACATGCGATGGGTTAAAAGATCAAAATATGATCTTGAACAGCCGCTGTGAACCCTTTTTCAAAAACGGTAATGATGGTTGGTGACAGCAATGCTAGCAAGACCTCCTTTCAACTCAGATCTGATCTCAAAAAACATTATTGAAATAAATATCAGTCCAAAGCATTTTTAACGTGTAACCAGAGATCAGATCAGACCAGATCTAAGATGCACATAAACAAAACATACCTGGTTTGATATATTGATCATTATTTGATCAACACTATCAGCACCGCAATAATCAGAAGCCGCTTTCTTGGGTGAACGCAGTTTTTCAAAATCGTTGGGTCTGCGGGCAAGCGTTTCCTTCTCTCCCCTCCCCTTTCATTCCTCTTTTGTTTATCTCTTGTGTCATTTTTCTCACCTTGTGCAGAAACACTTACTATGCAGGCTAGGGCTTTTCAGGTACATATCTATAGTAGCTATAATATTGTCCTAGTGAAGTTTAATTGGGCATAAATTTAATGAGCTCGAGTTTCAGCTGTGGCTGCGATGTTGTATGATTGATTGATTGACAAGTACATTGAAGACATAAGAATCGGTGTATAGAAAGCTGAGAGTTCCAACAAAATCTTGGGGCTTGCAATCTCAAGTTTTAACACTTGCATTTCCAAAACAAATCAAAATACCACTGATTACACAAAATTCACACGGTTTCGAATTTCGAACTGAAAACCTTCGAAACCATTCGAAAGCAAAGAAGACTTCTCAAATTTCAAAAAAGAATCAAGGATCACGCTTGCAGAGAAGAAGGCTTTATGCAAGATATTATGCTAACAATAAACAGATAAAGCACCCGAAAATCATTTAACTCACCTTCCATTTCTTCAGAAGAAGTGGAGGAAAATTTTGATCTCGAATGCCCATGGACAAACGTGAATCCACTGTCCCGGACAACTCGCCTTGCCATTGTAAACAACTCATCGCGTCGGACGAGCAGTGTCGGATCGCGCAGGCAAAGTTGAGCGGCTGCTTCATTGATCATTTGTTCATGCGAATTTAGTGAATCTGTCTTGCGTTTCTTCAAGTCTCGACCATAGATGCGTGAATGATCTCTAATCAGCTGTTGTCTTTCGGGGTCCAGCTTCTCCCAGTCTATGATAACTTCCATCGGAGGCAGTTTCAGCTCAACAACTCGCTTTTCAGGGCCGCCTTGAGTGCCAGAGCTACTTAGCCTCTTTCTCCCTTTCGTTCCCGCTGGCGACGGAGTAGAAACTGGTTGTTTGGCTTGAGGTGAAGGAGACCACTTGTCCATCCAAGATCCGGCAGAAACTCGTCCAGAAGGAGAATGACCTCGCTTGCTTTTCCATTCCACCAAAGCTTTCTGTAGTCGTTTTGTGTGCAAGGGCTTCGTGGACATCCCAACCAAGGCGATAATTTCTTTGAATTCATCTTCGCTTGCATCGCAAAACTGCTGTACGTCGTCGCCTCCTTGTTCGAGGAAACTCTGGTAGTAGTCTAGCAGGTTCGCTGCTTTGAGCACAGAGTGAAGTTCTGCCTCTCTCTCCTTCTGTCCTGGCGTTGCCATTTTGCGCTACTTTCCCCACCCTACAAAGCGTGGAAACGGCGTTGATGGCGGCGAAAAGCTCGAAGCAAGCAGGGCTGTGGACTCCCCAGAAAACTAAGATGCCGTCTTCTGATTGGCTCGGCTTCGGTTAATATGTGTCCACCCTACCCGCGTGAAAAAGTTCTCATTGGACAGAACAGGGGTGATTGACAACTGGCGGGGTGTAGGATAAAAATAACATTCGATCTGTGTACCCAAGTTCGTTGTCTGTTTCGTTTCGCGAAACAAAGTTAGCTGTTTCGTATTAGCATACCGTTTATACCTTTTAGAATTTTACTTGACGTGCAAGTCGTGACCAGGGTAACGAAATGCACAATAATTTATTGTGTGTCACAAAAACAACCCAATCCACCCCGCAACAACAACAATTCGCCACAACACTTTGAATTCGATTTGAATTGCAAATAACTTCTGCTTCACCGGTCGATGATCCTACATAATTATCCGAAAGGTCAAAATGGTGACTCGGTCATCAGAAAATTCAACTAGATTTCTGCTCAGTGGATTATCTAACATGTGCGGTGGAGCAGGTGAGAGTTTTAACTTTGATCTATTAAAGCTTACGTGAATGTTTTACTTGCCGACAGAACTTGCGAATAAACTTAAGCTTACTCAAAACAGATCGAAAGTCACTGTTGTTGGCCAGTGACTCGGTTATGTTTTGGGTACGTTGGGAAACTTTTTCTTCTTTCTTTGGCGTGTTTCATGCATCCCACATTTGTACCCTTATCCGCGAGTGCAGGTAAAAACCACCTGAAAACTGTTCATCATTGTGTTGAGGTAACTTATGAAAGCATAACAGCTCGATCTAAAAAAAAAAAAATTGTGGATCATATGGTAACATAACAGTATTGGTCCTTTTTATTTATCTGTAGCATATGGCGACCTGCTCTCTGAGAGCTGTATAAATATTGGCCGTATAACTTAGAACCATTCTCATGGGGGACCTACAATTATCGACCCTTAATGCCCAGGCATTAGAGGGATAAAGTCAATAAGTCTATATGCATTGCTCCCTAGGAACAAACATACCCTGTCCAGTTCTTATCCCTTAACAACATTACAACAGGGGATTAGGACACAACAAGAAAAGACGGACTGTAGACTCTTTTGTTGTAAACAAATCCACCATCAGCCCAGAAATAGCCGATTGGTCGAGCCAAGTGTAATTTCTCAGTTTTTTTATGTTGTATTGTAAATAGGCCTGTTGTGATCAACTTTCGGTAAACACGAAAACAGTTCGCTTTTGAACAATTATTTTGTAAGCACAAGCTGAAAGAGCACATTAAAGTTAGGTAACCTGTAAATTTTAAGCTGTATATCTCAAAAGTGGCGATTGCAATGGCCACCGAAAATTAGAAGCATTTGTATGAGAAAAACAACCCTTGCCACCCAACACGCTTGAGTGGTTTCCGTACAACTCCTTGTAAATTATGAATTTTTTAAACTGTTGTTAAATCTTTCCCTTAAGCACTCAAGAGCTCAATGTGCCTGTTATGAATTAAAAGGAGAATTGAGCCCTTGAATGCTTAAGGAAATATTTCACGACAGTTTGAAAATTTCAAAATTTACAAGGATTTGAACATGGCTTAGTAATAGGGGGACTCAAAACAAGAGGAAATGGTAACAAACAAAATGAAGATGGGTTCAAAACCCGAAAAGACTTTATATGAAATTTAGAGTAGGGACATTTCCTATTTATCTTCACGACAAAGAGACAGGAATGGGTGTGCAGCTCGAACTATGGAGCCTGGGTGTTTAATGCCGTCCAAATAACATACAAAGCTCAACATCATAACTAAAGAATGGTATACAAATATTCCTAAGTAAAGTCACTCAGGCTAAACTATTCACATGCACTGCCTGAGATGAAAACCCAAAAAATCCAATGGAAAAAAATTGGGAATGTATTCCCCAACTGATGCGGTCGCACAACCTCTGGGAGTTAAAGGAAAAAAATCAATCGATAGATGAATAAAGTAAGATATAAAAATAAAAGTTGATAGTTTGAGAGCTGAGATTACAACTGTCAACTGGCGTATGAAAGGGGTGGGGATGCTCGTCGTCTCGCTCAGGGGTGTAAATTTGGGACTTTTGGTCTCACTTAGGGTGTTCTGGGCAAAACCCCATCATTTTTAGCTGTGAAGGTCTCGTTTAGNGGGGGTTCCCCCCCCCCCCCCCGAGGACATGTCCTGCCCCTCACACATGCTTTCAAACTGTGACTCAAAAGAAAAGCAAGAGACAGCTTGCAGTCTAGCTCCCACTGGGCATCCCAAGAATATGACAATAATCGAAAAGCGCAAGCAAGCAAGCGCTCTGAGGGGGCTTTTTTTCCTCTCCCCAGCTTCCATATCGAACAAGGAGACCTCTGCGGGGGAGAAAGCCCTCTCCACATTTATCGTTAAATTAAAAGGGGTTCTTCTTTCAAATTAAGACAGTTACATTTCGATCATTTTAAATAGCCATTCTCTTTTTATATTGCAGTCACAAATCCTATAGATGTCATCAAAATTCGCATGCAGCTTGAGAATGAACTGGGCTCGAACCACAGCAGTAAGAATATTTTCAAGGACCGTTATTACAATGGATTTATAAGAGGTGGACTTAGAATTTATTCTGAAGAAGGACTTAGAGGTCTTTATAAAGGGTAAGTGAAGTACCTTCTTTTGGTCCTACTTTCCTTTTGCCTTCCTGTGCAAGTAACTGGTGTTCCTGTTCTTAGTAGCCAGGGGAATCCCTGGCCCTTCTTTCTTAGTGACAGCCTTGAAATGTTGAATTTTAGCTGCTATTTCATTTTACCAAATATTTTCCCTTAATCTTTATATTTGCAATCACTTGTTTTTCTAAAATTAGTCATTTTTCTGAGAAAAAAGAGGCCATTCACTACTTTTTCTAAATGAGTTGAGTAATAAAGGAAACTTGCAATATGGCAATAGCACCAAAGGGCTGCTTGAACATAGCCTGCGTAGCTGGCTCTTAGATGTAGTAGGCGCAAGAAAGAATGGGTGCGCAAGAGGGAGACACTTGGGCGCCTGTTCTTTCTTGTGCCCACTACTTCACTATGCGGGCTAGCTTGAACACAACACTGCATTTATGTTTTTTAAGCAGCTTAAACAGATTTGCTTATTTTGTTTTGGGCAAGTTTGTGCCCCCCACCATACAAACGTCTGGAAAATTTCGCCACTTTGAGGAGCTGTATCTTCATTAGTTTTCCACAAATCACTTTCAAACTGGGCAATTTTATTAATTTTAGAGCACTCTTTCCAATGGTATTGACGGATTTTCCTGAACTTGCACATGTCAAAGTTGAAAAAAAAAAAAACATGAAAAGGTCTATCCACCTAGATATCCTGGCACCTTGTACTATTATAAATCACTACAATTAATCTCATTTAAAAGGCCCTGGTAGTACAGTATTTAACTAAGTAGTAGGCTGCGAGCAAGCTCTCCATTTGGGGGATATCGTGAAAAGTGGACGCGCGAGAGGCACACAAGAGGAGACGGTGCTCGCTCGCGCGTACTCGCGCGGCTTGCATCGCTCGCCCAAATAGGAGAGCTTGCTCACTGGCTAACTAAGTAGTTAAATACTGACTGATGACTTTTTTGCAGGCTTCTGCCGTCTTTGATGAGAGAAGGTTCTTACAGTACAATTCGGCTTGGTGCTTATGAGCCATTAAAACTTCAGCTAGGAGCTACAGATATCGCCCATACCCCACTGTGGAAGAAGATTACAGCAGGTGCTATCTCAGGGACGATCGGTAGCGCAATAGCCACGCCTACAGACCTTGTCAAGGTGCGCTTTCAAGCTGTGGGGCCTGGAAAGCGATCCGCTTATCGGAACACTTTCCACGCATTTTGGACAATCGCGCGAATGGAAGGCATCAAAGGACTGTGGACAGGTGTAGGTCCGACAGTTCAACGTGCGGCCATTCTAACAGCAGCACAGATTCCTTCATACGATCATACTAAGCATACACTTTTAAACGCTCAGTTGATGGAGGAAGGGCCCGCCCTTCATGGAGTCTCATCTGTCATTGCTGGATTTGTAACTGCTTGTAGTACGTCACCCTTTGATGTGGTCAAGACTCGTATGATGAATCAGAAGAAAGCTGTAAGTGGAGTTCCACTAGCGTACAAGAATTCTATTCATTGTATAATACAAATTGTGAAGCATGAGGGTGTTTTGGGACTTTATAAAGGATTTATACCGAACTGGATGCGAATAGGACCTCATACAATTGTCACGTTCTTTGTCTTTGAAAGACTACGGCATTTTGTTGGAATGAAACCAGTATAAACAATATAAATAACATACAATGTATTTATTAATTGGTCACCATATATTTACTGATATCAAGGATTAAGCTACAATATTTTTACAGACTATTTCTATGACTAAGTTGTTAAAGCCAGTGCCCGCTTTGCATATATATTCCCTATATACTAGTAATAATCATTGATTATGGATCCCCGTTCGTTATACCGAAAAATTCCGAAAGTAAGCCCAGGGGCTTATATTTTTCAAAGGTCCTTTTTGAGGGGCTTATTTTTGGAGGGGCGTGTATTCGGAGGGGCTAATCTACGGAGAGAAATTTGCGTTTCAAAATCGATTGGGCTAGCCTTATAGTTGGAAGTAAATTTACCGTTTTTGCTTTGTTTTACTTTGTATTTGAGAGCAATTTTCGAAGTACAAGCCCGCGGGGGTTTATATTTAGAGGGGCGATTTAACGGAGGGTTTTTTGGGTTACCGGTTTGGCGGGCTTATACATGGAGGGGCTTATTTTCGGAATTTTACAGTATTCTACGAGCATGACATCTGCACGAAACCAGACTAAAGGAAACGAAAACGAGTCCAAAGGAGTCCAGTTTCCTGCGGCCGAGATGCCCCTGATAAAATCTGGGCGGCTAATCGGCAGTCGCCCGTGATAGCTCGAAAATTTCTGCCTTTGTGCCACAGGAACACCAGATTAGGATGCGTTCTGACGAACGCGACTAACCTGTGTCGAAGATACTCTAATCATAAAGTATGGTATATTAGCGGAGCTGGCAGCAATTTATTATTGCACACTTTGAGATGTATGTATCGCGAATAGTTCGCTTGTTCTTCGAAAGTGGGCTTAAGAGTGTGTATCCAATCAAACGAGTTGGTTCTAGCTTATATGAAGAGCCTCTTGCACCTTAATTCCTATAAAAAAATTACAGTAGATTTTTAATGGCGATGTCAAGCACTCTCATAGTTTTTCAGGGATCGAGATCCCTCAAGGAGTAAATTAATTGCTGTTACGGCGAACTCTGTTTGGGCTTCCATGGCCAGATCATATTCATTTAGCCCCCAAAATATGCGATATTGTTGGAGCTAACAGCAATATTAATATCACACACCTTGAGATGCATCGCGAAAAGTACTGTAACGTTTACATTCTCTACCGACCTCAAAAGGCTAAAGACATGTAAAGAGTATGTACCCAATGAAACGTTTTTGCCGAGATTATGTGAAGAGCCTCCCAAAGCAGAGGCACCTTGTTATAAAACATTTTAAGTACATTTCAAATGATACCTTTTACATTCACAGCATTGTGTCGCAAATAATTAATTGTTATTAAGATGAGAGTGAAAGGCCCAGCTGTTTTACAGAGCTTGGTGAAAAGTAAAGTTTTGTTTCCAAATCGTGTTATGGCAGCCCACAAATCAGGGACACCCAACGACGGTTTCTCCTAAATACATCGAATACACTTTTTAGGCCACCTAGAGTGCTTTTAGATCTCTAGAAATGCATTCTTATAGGCGACACTATGAAATTTGTATCTGTTCGGTCATCCTAGGTGAACTTGAGTCTTTCCGAAATTACAAGGGCTTGAGCATTATTTTCCCGAAAACTTTAGATGCAATCTAACGTATTACGACAGTGAGAATTTTTCTGATTCCACTCTCCATCACATTTTTTAATCCGAAAATTGTAGGTTTCCTTTTTTCTACGAAAAATAGCCTGACCTAGGGTGTGAAATGTGAAAAAATTACCTTCAGAAAACCATAGGGAATTTATAGGATAAGCTTCGAAAACTGTAGATGAACGGAACAGTCATCAGGACATTTCTAACCGTCCTCAGAACGACAGAAAATTCTAGGCAATATTTGCTTCTCCGGACAGATATTTTACAAAAATTAAACAGTCGTTGGGTGCCCCTGATAAATGACCTGTTCATCACTAATTCTATGGTGCCCAGTGGTAAAATGTCCGGTATCTTGTTCAAAATATAAAAGACAAGATAAATGGTTAAAATGTTCTCAAACTATCAAATATCAATAATTTCACATGTAAAAATATCGTATTTTTACGTGTGTTCAGATACCACATTTCACGGTGGTAGAAATCCTTGTAAAACACTGCAGTTTATATAATAAAAATATATATTTGATATGTATATTTTTAATGTGTTTTATTTACTCCATTCATATAAGCCACGTTTTCTCATTGTCTGTGTTTTAACTTGGTCTCTTTAGGGGTCAAGAAAAGCTTGGGCCACACCCAGATCAGTCTCCTTCAAAATTTCTGACAAGCATTCCCGCCCCTTTCATATGCGGAGTTCCCCTCCCCCCCCCCCCTCCGAGGACATGTCCTGCCCCTCACACATGCTTTCAAACTGTGACTCAAAAGAAAAGCAAGAGACAGCTTGCAGTCTAGCTCCCACTGGGCATCCCAATAATATGACAATAATCGAAAAGCGCAAGCAAGCAAGCGCTCTGAGGGGGCTTTTTTCTTCCCCTCCCCAGCTTCCATATCGAACAAGGAGACCTCTGTGGGGGAGAAGCCCTCTCCACATTTATCGTTAAATTGAAAGGGGTTCTTCTTTCAAATTAAGACAGTTACATTTCAATCATTTTGAATAGCCATTCTATTTTTATTTTGCAGTCACAAATCCTATAGATGTCATAAAAATTCGCATGCAGCTTGAAAATGAACTGGGCTCAAACCACAGCAGTAAGAATATTTTCAAGGACCGTTATTACAATGGATTTATAAGAGGTGGACTAAGAATTTATTCTGAAGAAGGACTTAGAGGTCTATATAAAGGGTAAGTGAAGTGCCTTCTTTTGGTCCTATTTTCCTTTCGCCTTCCTGTGCAAGTAACTGCAGGTGTTCCTGTTCTTAGTAGCCAGGGGAATCCCTGGCCCTTCTTTCCTAGTGACAGCCCTGAAATGTTGAATTTTAGCTGCTACCAAATATTTTCCCTTAATGTTTTATATTTGCAATCACTTGTTTTTCTAAAATTAGTAATTTTTCCTGAGAAAAACGAGGCCATTCACTACTTTTCCTAAACCAGTTGAGTGATAAAAGAAGCTTTCAACATTGCAACAGCACCAAAGGGCTGTTTGAACATAGGCTGCGTAGCAGGTGCTTAGATGTAGTGGGCGCAAGAAAGAATGGGTGAGCGAGAGGGAGACACTTGGGTGCCTGTTCTTTCTTGTGTCCACTACTTACAAGCACCTGCTACACGGGCTAGCTTGAAGACAACACTGCATTCATGCTTTTTTAGCAACATAAACAGATTTGCCTATTTTGTTTTGGGCAAGTTTATGCCCCCCACCATACAAACGTCTGTAAATTTTCGCGACTTTGAGAAGCTACACCTTCGTTAGTTTTCAACAAAACACTTTCAAACTTGGCAATTTTAACTAATTTTAGAGCGCTCTTTCCAGTGGTGTTGACGGATTTTCCTGAACTTTCCCATTTCAAAAGTTGAAAAAAAAAACATGAAAAGGTCTATCCTTCTAGATATCCTGGCAACTTGTACTATTATAAATCGCTACAATTAATCTCATTTAAAAGGCCCTGGTAGTACAGTATTTAACTAAGTAGTAGGCTGCAAGCAAGCTCTCCATTTGGGGGATATCGTGTAAAGTGGACGCGCGAGAGGAGACGCGGCCCCTCACGGCCTCGCTGCTCGCTCGCGCGTTCTCGCGCGGCTCGCATCGCTCGCCCAAATAGGAGAGCTTGCTCGCAGGCTAACTAAGTATTTAAATACTGACTGATGACTTTTTTGCAGGCTTCTGCCGTCTTTAATGAGAGAAGGTTCTTACAGTACAATTCGGCTTGGTGCTTATGAGCCATTAAAACTTCAGCTAGGAGCTACAGATATCGCTCATACCCCACTGTGGAAGAAGATTACAGCAGGTGCTATCTCAGGGACGATCGGTAGCGCAATAGCCACGCCTACAGACCTTGTCAAGGTGCGCTTTCAAGCTGTGGGGCCTGGAAAGAGATCCGCTTATCGGAACACTTTCCACGCATTTTGGACAATCGCGCGAATGGAAGGCATCAAAGGACTGTGGACCGGTGTAGGTCCGACAGTTCAACGTGCGGCCATTCTAACAGCAGCACAGATTCCTTCATACGATCATACTAAGCATACACTTTCAAACGCTCAGTTGATGGAGGAAGGGCCCGCCGTTCATGGAGTGTCATCTGTCATTGCTGGATTTGTAACTGCTTGTAGTACGTCACCCTTTGATGTGGTCAAGACTCGTATGATGAATCAGAAGAAAGCTACAAGTGGAGTTCCACTAGCGTACAAGAATTCTATTCATTGTATAATACAAATTGTGAAGCATGAGGGTGTTTTGGGACTTTATAAAGGATTTATACCGAACTGGATGCGAATAGGGCCTCATACAATTGTCACGTTCTTTGTCTTTGAAAGACTACGGCATTTTGTTGGAATGAAACCAGTATAAACAATATAAATAACATTCAATGTATTTATTAATTAGTGACCATCTATTTACTGATATCAAGGATTAAACTACAATATTTTTACAGACTATTTCTATGACAAAGTTGTTAAAGCCATTCTTCGTTTTGCATGTATATTCCTTATATACTAGTAATAATCATTGATTATGGATCCGCGTTCGTCATATTCTACGAACATGACATCTGCACGAAAACCAGACTAAAGGAAACGAAAACGAGTCCAAAGGAGTCCAGTTTCCTGTGGCCGAGATGCCCCTGAGAAAACTAATATGGGCTGCTAATCGGCAGTCGCCAAATTTCTGTCTTTGTGCCACAGGAACACCAGATTAGGATGCGTTCTGACGAACGCGACTAACCTGTGTCGAAGATGCTCAAAGCATAAAGTATGCTATATTAGCGGAGCTGGCAGCAATTTATTATTGCACACTTTGAGATGTATGTATCGCGAATAGTTCGCTTGTTCTCCTGAAGCGGGCCCAAGAGTGTGTATCCAATCAAACGAGTTGGTCCCCTGCACCTTCCTATCAAAAAATTACGGTAGATTTTTAATGGCGATGTCAAGCACTCTCATAGTTTTTACAGGGATCGAGATCCCTCAAGGACTAAATTAATTACTGTTACGAACTCTGTTTGGGCTTCCATGGCCAAATCATATTCATTTTGCCCCCAAAATATGCTATATTGTTGGAACTAACAGCAATATTTATCACACACCTTGATATGCATCACGAAAAGTACTATAAAGTTTGCTTTCTTTACCGACCTGAAAAGGCTAAAGAATATGTACCCAATGAAACGTTTTTGCCTAGATTATATGAAGAACCCCCCCAAAGCATAGAAACCTTGTTATACAAAACATTTTCAGTACATTTCAATGATACCTTTTACGAGGGGTTTTACATTCAAAACATTGTGTCGCAAATAATTAATTCTTATTAAGACACCCAACGACGGTTTTCTCCTAAATACATTGAAAACACTTTTTAGGCTACCTAGAGTACTAAATGCATTCTTATAGGCGGCACTCTAAAATTTTTATCTGTTCGGTCATCCTATGGGAACTTGAGTCTTTCCGAAATTACAAGGGCTTCAGCATTATTTTTTAGATGCAATCTAATGTATTACGACAGTGAGAATTTTTCTGATTCCTCTCCCCATCACATTTTTTAATCCGAAAATTGTAGGTTTCCTTTTTTCTACGAAAAATAGCCTGACCAGGGCCCAGTTGCTCGAAGGCCGATTAACGCTAACCCAGAGTTAAATTTTAACTCTGGTTTCTTTTTCTTTTGTCCAAAAGCATTTTCCCAAATAACTTTCTCTCTTCTTTATAGAGTATCCAATCATCAAATTGTAGGCAAAAAGAATAAAACTGAATTTGCTTCTCAAGCTTTCATATCTGAAATCAAATTTCGCACTAACTCTGGATAGACTTAACCCTGCTTTGAACAACCCGGCCCAGGGGTGTAAAATGTGAAAAATTAAACTTCAGAAAACCATAGGGGATTTATAAGATAAGCTTCGAAAACTGTTGATGAACGGAACAGTCATCAGGACATTTCTCACCGTCCTCAGAACGACAGAAAATTCTAGGCAATATTTGCTTCTCCGGACAGATATTTTACAAAAATTAAACAGTCGTTGGGTGCCCCTGATAAATGACCTGTTCATCACTAATTCTATGGTGCCCAGTGGNAGAGTATCCAATCATCAAATTGTAGGCAAAAAGAATAAAACTGAATTTGCTTCTCAAGCTTTCATATCTGAAATCAAATTTCGCACTAACTCTGGATAGACTTAACCCTGCTTTGAACAACCCGGCCCAGGGGTGTAAAATGTGAAAAATTAAACTTCAGAAAACCATAGGGGATTTATAAGATAAGCTTCGAAAACTGTTGATGAACGGAACAGTCATCAGGACATTTCTCACCGTCCTCAGAACGACAGAAAATTCTAGGCAATATTTGCTTCTCCGGACAGATATTTTACAAAAATTAAACAGTCGTTGGGTGCCCCTGATAAATGACCTGTTCATCACTAATTCTATGGTGCCCAGTGGTTAGAGCATCCGACTGGTGTCTACAAGGTCATGGGTCCAATTCCAATCTGGAAAACAGAAATTTTTCGGAGTTCTTCTCTCCCCACATAACCCTCTAAAAAATGAATAATCTGCTCTGTTACATTCTGACTTACTGCGACCCTCTTTCAGCGGCTCGTGAATCAAACGGCTTTTTTCTCCCGCACTTGATTGCTTTCCTTCTTGAGCTGTTGGTTATTAACTTCGATTCGAGAGTTTTATTTGATATTTAACTTGGATTGCTCTGTATATATACTGAGATGGTTTTACACTTAGTCTACTTGACATGGTGTGGAAGGTGCACATTGTACTTGTTTTCCGGTTGATATATTGGAGTCGCAGTTGTTTGAAAAGTCTGGAGATCACCTGGTTTGATTCGCCTGTGTTTTCTTCCTTGGCGGTTAGGCGGCTGGGTTCTAGGCTTGATTACCAGCCGCTGTTCGGGAAATGAGCCCGCGCTCTTTCCCTGAACAGTCTCTTGACTCTCTTCTCGAGGGGCTCCAGAGAGAGTGGCGGAAGGTTCATGTACCTCGACAATTACTTCAGACGGTGAAGCAACGGGATTGTTTTCAGCCACTGGCTGTTTGTTATTGATAAGACGGCTTTCAGCAGTTTGGTTGACGACATTAGCGGAAACAACCGCAGAGAAATCTTGCCACTCAGCCTTCGAGATGAGACCAATTCGTCGTTGCTCCTCGTTGAAATTTTGCACACTCAGCAACTGCAGGGATAGACGATCGGCTGGTCTTGAACTGAGTCGCTCGGTGGTAACATCCACAGCGACGGTCTTCTTAATCTTCATCATTCGTAAAACCACATTCCTGAAATTTTTGTTTAGGACGAAGCAGTACAAAATAGGGTTTATAAGANACATTAGCGGGTACAACCGCAGAAAAATCCTGCGACTCAGCCTTCGAGATGAGACCTATTCGTCGTTGCTCCTCGTTGAAATTTTGCACACTCAGCAACTGCAGGGATAGACGACCGGCTGGTCTTGAACTGAGTCGCTCGGTGGTAACATCCACAGCGACGGTCTTCTTAATCTTCATCATTCGTAAAACCACATTCCTGAAATTTTTGTTTAGGACGAAGCAGTACAAAATAGGGTTTATAAGAGAGTTGAGTTGAATAACCAGCTCTGACCATCGGAAAGAGGAGCTTGTACGAAGAAAGGGCACAACTTTTCCAAAGAGAAGAACGATAACCAATGGGATAAAATAGACGAAAGAGACAACTGTTATGGCTAATGTCCTTTTGGCAATGCCATCCTCGTGCCTCATCCTTACCCGCGCGCGGCGAATAGAGTCTTCCCTTCGTTCCAGCTTTCGCACTTCTTGATAAACTCTGATGTAAAAATATCCTATAAGGAACACGCACACCAACGCCGGTAAACAAAAGACAACGTAAAAGACCTCTACTAAGATGTTATGTACACCAGCAGCTTTAAGAATACGCACAGGCGCCGTGGTCAATACTGCCATGATCCATGCGATTGCAATCAATTTCTTGATACGAGCTCTTCGGATAAATACATGGTACTGATTCCACTTTGCAACAGCTAGGTACCTCTCCCATGCAATCACTGTCAGATGATATAAAGTCGAAAAAACTGCACCGTACAGCACCAGCTGATTTGCAAAAGTAATTTTACAGATCGCTTGGCTCACTTCTTTACGAATGAGTAAAACGTCCAAGCTAATGCATAAAGGCATCGATACAGCTCCGACTAAAAAATCTGCTCCCGCCATGCTGGCCAACAAAATGTTGGAGTTTGTTTGTAACTCTCGTGTTTTCCATACGGCTATCACCACTACGATGTTTAAGAAAATGGTCAGAGGAGAAGCAATAGACGTAGTGATCGATGCAATGTAAAATGTGGTCGTGTCACTTAAAACCCATGTCAACATTGGTCTGTTTGGGCAATAAAACACGGACTGGGTTCCATTTGAGGTTAATTCAGCAACACCAAGGAGTGTCATTATTTTGGGATATTATAGAAAATTATGAGAAAATATGTAATAAAATTAACTTGTTTACCATCGGGGAATTTAAGCCTCCTTCGATTTCTTGACTCCTGAGAAAGAACGATGAACGGTACAAGTTTTCCATGCGTGCGAAGTCAAGGTTTTTCTGGCTTAGTCAATTTACCTTTCTCCCTAAATTAGTGCCCAAGATATAATAGAGCTTTTCTCTCTTCTTATACGTTCTCTCTCCCACAATAGTGAAGACAAATCCCTTTTTTCTTTTATGTTTTCAATCTAACCTTTCTTTAGTGACCAAGTTAATTGCACCCAAAACGTCCCAAAAAACATTCTTTTTCCTTTGCAAAAGTGCTACTTCAAATATCTGTTTAATTCTTAGATCAATTACCGTTAAGGAGAAGACAACTTCGAAAACTTTTTTTCGTCATTGAATCACGATTTCTTTCCCATCCACAGCTTAGCCAATCATTTTCAAAGGGAAGTTGAATTTAGTAGAACTACTCTGACCCATATATCATCATTACCCATGATGGCCTATTTATCGTTTTCGACATTTGTTTCAACATTCGTGGCGCGTTCACCACCTCCAAGTACATTTCTAGAAAGTTACAAAAGAAAGTTGATATTTTTTAAACTGTCTTCGAATTCGTTTTTCTCATTACGTAACAACGACAGCGTACTAATATTATAAATACAAAAAAGCTGTTTGTGATTGGATAAAAATGAACAACTTTTGGAAAGATACAAGTCATTTAATTGTTCAATGGATAAGGCGTTTAAACTGAAAGTTTCCGGCCTATGGGAACATCGTTGCATGTAGCAACACCCTTCTTTATAATAGGCAAGAGTTTTTCTTCTATTCTTTTTAGGATGGAGAACACTGGAAGGAACTCTAACAATGAAGACTTACGTAGACATATGTGAATAGAAGACTTAAAAACAGATGGAATACTTCAGATAGAAACTGCGTTGAGCTATTTTACAATTTATCCGAATGTGGAGTAGCCATTTTTTTATTAGATGGGATGCTTCACTCGTCTATAAAGGCACTGCAAATGCTGTTATTCATTCGTCAACTTTCTTCTTTTTTGGTCGGCGCTTCTCGATTCCCCTGCATAGTGATTATCACATGTTAACAGGAACTTTTCAAAACAGTGAAAAAGGAAATAAAAATTTCATTTGTCCCAGCAATTGTTAGAGCTGCGACGATCTGCACGAACACTGTATCCACAATAATTCACAGACAAATATTACAAACTGCACGGCAAGAAAAACACAGGCAGCGTGTGAAAATTATAACGAGTTACAGCTTCAAAATAAGAGAATAGAGCAAGATACATCTCGAAAGCGTTCGGCTTTTTGGAGCTGTATGTGGTTGCGTGTAACTCTTACGTACTAATTTTTCTTTGACTCGCTTTTAGTAGTTACATTACTCTTGGCTACACGCAACGATTTAAATGTTTATATCGTAACTTATTTTAACTTTTAACTGTGAAAATACGTTTTTTTTATTATTATTTGCACGGATTATATTCGGGCAAATTTCCCCAAAATTTGCTGCAATTTTTACGCTTTCGGTCAAGTAGAAATTTACACTATTTTTTTATATAAAGAATTTATTTTACATGTAAATAGAACAGCGACGCTGAAACTGGCGAAATTTTAAGAATATATTTTAGGAATAAATCCGAGCGAGGCTGAGATTTTGAAAAGAATTTAAAAAAATGTAATTTTGTGTGTTGAAACTGCCTTTGTACACTATAATTATATGTTTTCAACTAAACCGTATAGAATTCTTCCTTTCTCCAAACGGCAAAACTATAAAACGATGAGCAGCTACACTAGCCAAATGTTCGATACTTCTGACTCGATCGAAACAGTTCGATACCGATCTCACTGTAAATAATTAACAATTTTTTCTAAAAGGAAAATGTCGTACGCTACAATGAAAGAGTTTTCAGAAGAATGTTTTCACCCTAATGTCGGTAGAAACATGTAATATTCACCCTGGGCGGGAAAAACAATATTATTGTAGAAAAAGGTATCCCAACTCACAAAGTCACATGCAACTTAAAATGAAACAGGAAAAAGAGTAACAATTTCATTTGAACGTATTGGACCGATGATCGACCGGCTAGTTGCATGTTGAGGGGATCTGCTAAATAAACGATCTCAGCCGATTGTCCTGTCGTTGTTTCAAGCGGCACTTCCAGCGACCGGAGAGCTACTGAGGATGTGAGGCCTGCGTTTGAGGGATAATATCGGTTCCTCAATCCATTCCTATTAAATTTTTTGCGGGCCAAGGTGGTTAATATTAAAAACAAAAGGAAGAAAAAAGCGGATAATGCCAGGGAATACCAATACTTTTGGGGGAGCGTTGCGTGACATCCAAAAAACGGCTGCGAGGGAGACTAAGGGAATACCCCCTCAGTATCGCAAATTACTTATAAAAAGTTAGGCAAACCCAGATGGTTCTAAGCTAAAACCGCCGAAAGGGAAAACGGCAACAATCCAAGATTCCGCGCTATTGGTAGTAAAATAGAGAATACAGTCGAAACCCGTTTCAAGCACACCCGTTTAATTCGGACACGTCGTTATTACGGACAGTCATCTTTGTCCCTTGGGAAAGTCCTTACGTTTTCTCAAAATTCAACCCGTTTAATACGGACACCCGTCAATACGGACAACAGACACTTATTTCTTCCCCAGTCAACAGATTCTCAAAGAACGCCAACCTCGCTAATGCGGACACTTCATTATCAACTGTGTGCTGTAATAGACCTTTCCTTTTTGGAGGCAAGGAAACCCTTATTTGAAAGCATGTTGAAGTTCCCAGCGCTCCACTGAGCGTAACTGTACGCCGGATAAGATGATTTGTAGACGTCAAGTTTTGGTATCAAACGAGTTGTGCAGAGAACGGTTTTGATTAAGTAATATATAACTGAGCAATTTTTTAGTGTTTCCGTGGATTTAAGCCGCGGAATGAAGGCGTTGTGAAGATTAGAGATGCGGTATTTTGTTCTAATAAAAGGAGGTTTTTTGACTTGAATGAAATGAGCTGCTTAATACGGACACCCCGTTAACAGACACCCCGTTATTAACGGGGTTTGACTGTATTAGAAATTACAGATGTGGCCGTTCACTGATTATAGCTATTAACTTTCAACTTTGAGGTGTACGTAACAAATGGTACAGCGCACAAAGGATATCAGTTGTTGAGCAATCGTAATTAATTAAAGTCACATCAGAAAATAAGTTAATAGTTATATTACACATCCAAGAATTTTTCCATTCCAAAGAAAGAGTATACAGGTAGGCTGAATGTAGAATAAAATAGAAGTTAATAGAAACAGACAGGTCCTATTTCGAGTCCAAATTCCTCGTTTTGATCGGCTATGTCGTAAGCTGCTACATCCACAATGGGAAGACGGTTGGTTTTGGGCGTGTCTATTTGGATAACTGTGTGGAGCCACGTGCCATTCTTGATCTGCGATGAAAAAGGAAGAAATAATTAGTGGTTTTGTACCGTCTACGGGAATCCGTCCGCTTCACCACGGCCTAAATTAAAGCATTGTTGTGGTTATGCACTTTACTGGGTGAAAAACATGACGTTTCGAGTAAAAAGTTCGAGTCAGAGAGGGACGAGATTTTTTAGATTCAGGACGGTCACGCGAGCCAGCAAATCGAGCGAAGCGAACGAAAATAAAAATTGTCAGCCCAGGAAAAACTGGGGCCTTTATTTTTAGCCTCGACTCCACTATAAACCGAGAAGAGACTGGTTGCAGTCTAGAGAATATCCTTTCATACATACTCTGAAACCTTTATTGAGCGGACAGTCTGAGGTGCAAAGCGGACACTCTGCCAGTTTCAATGAAACTTGACCTCGCTTTTTTTATGTCAGCTGTTCTAAGACAGCTAACAGTTTTAGTAAAACAGCAGAGAGTTAAATAGCGTTAATCATCGGACTGATTTAAGCTATTTGTGTGTTCATGACTGCATTTCGATTTACGGGGAAATATTTTAAAGTTTACGTAACTTCGCTTCATACAATCCTTTGTGTTACAGTCTCGTTTGCTGTTTTATAATGTCTAAATTCTTTGTTCACGTTGTTTATTTTTCCAGGTAAACCGTTTAAATGTGGTGAAAAAAAAAAAAAAAATGACATTTACGAGTTTGAAGAACCGGACTAGTTCACATTTTCCTACTCACTCGACAATCGTCCGTAATTATCCTTGGCTTGAACTTATTGGAGGAGCTGGAGTGAATGATGACTCCATTGGCCGTCTTAATTTTGACGGACTTAGAGACGTCTTTAAGCTGTTCATCGTACCAAGCGATGGAGTTTTTGCAGTGGTAAGTGATGGTCTGACGTGCGCGGTCACTCAACAGACGTAAGAATAACAGCTGGCTTAAAAACTTGACGTACTTGATCTGAAACATGAAGGAAAGCTTCTGTTTATCTAGGGAACAATCGCCTCATGAAGGTAAACCAAGACAGTCTTGGAGTCTGGATTCCACGCCGTGGATTCCGGATTTCATGCACTGGATTCTGGATTCTCTGTCAGTGAAATTTGGATTCCGGATTCCTATCGTAAGCGGGATTCCGGATTCCGGATTCCGAAGTCCAGCATTCCGGATTCCATTAGCAAAAATTTCCCGCGGTTTCCGGAATGCGGATTCCCTTACATGGGGCGAGAACAAGTTACGCTAATTGGAACCGAGGGGGAGGGGGGCACTCACGGGAAGTCTGGGTAGAGCTGTGTCGCCGAGGCCTTCAAACCCCGACCCTTTTTAAGACTTTCTGATCCTGATTTGTTCTGTTTTGAGCACAGAATTAAGTAATTTTTCACACTCAAATCGTGGAAATAGATATTGAGGAAAACAATTAATTTATTGGTATTTCAAATGTACACCGCTCACCACAAGTCTTCACACTCTTTGAAAGGCTTCCAGTCCAAAAAGACACCCAGTTCAAAACGCTCAACAGTGAAATTGTA